CACCCCTGAGAGAGCAACACGAATCGCTAACCATGTAGTGAGTTTGACACAGCCAAACATGTTCTCATAGATCCATCCATGCCCAATGACATAAAGAGAGGCAAAAAACCCAAACAAACTGTCGAAACCAACAACAAAAGTGGACACAGGAAAACAAATAACAAACAAATAAAAACTACAAGAAAAACTTTCACAAACTCTAGCACCTCGTACATCCTATGGTGGTGGTTCGGGAGGAGGTCATACCACCGGTACCATGCTAATTGATCCTCCATGACCTTTGGCTGCCAAAGACCAAGCATCAATCCTCCGTCCCTGCATAACCAAACTCATCCCTGCTCCGTGCGACCGGAGTAAACGGATAGGCGGCGCCGATCTTCTCCAACGACGATAGCCACGCCGCTTCCTCGACCCTCGACCACAGCGCCGATCTCCTCGAGCCATGACAGCAAATCCGCCCTCCTCCACCGATCTCCGCCCTCCGCGTCTGACCTGGACTCCAGCCGAGCACCAGCGACCAAGGGAATACAAAACCGATCTTCGACAAAGTCGAAATCGGAAAAAGACTCCAGCGGCCGACATAGTCGAAGCCCTAGAGAGAAAACTCCTAATATTCCTTTAACTCCTCAAAACCAGCGACTCTTCCTGTCCGAAAGCAAAACAAACCAGTCCAATCACAAAGCAACCAGATCTGCTCCTCCTCGTTCGTACCAAACCGAACAGAAAAGCGATTGAATACGAATACAAAGAATCGCCGCACTATTGATTTATTCTTAATCAAATTATAATTTGAATTTCACAACTTTGTAGAATTTTTAATGTAATTTCTGAATATGCAAATTTTAATTATTAAAATTGAATTAATTATCAATAAGGAGGATTTAACTTTGACATTGGTTGACAAAAAAATGTTGACTTTGCAAAATAATTTCGGACGGAGGTAGTAAATTTTAGTAATAATTTGAAAAAAACTCTAGTTAAGAAGCAGTGCTATCCGGAAAATTCTTTGGGGGTGTCCTCATTTAGGATTCTAAAGAATTTTAAATGATTGAGATTTTAATGGAACTGAATCGGATTCTATAGAATCTGCGAAATTGTACTGGAATTCCATGAAATTGGAATCCTCCCTCCGACTCGGATTTTGGGTGATTTTTCAATAAACCCTCATTCACTTCTACGAAGAAGGAAATGACCCCAGCCTTGTCGCCACTACTACGAAGTCAGGTCGGTGACGCCTACCAAGCCTTCTCAGCTTCTTGTCACGTCTGTGGAGATGTGCAATCCAAGAAGGAAACGAACCGAAGCGGCAATATATATTCGACGAGTTGGAATTGTCGGACTGTAATCCTTGATTCCGGTGGCAGTGATTGAGCAAGCGAGCTCGTCAGATCCCTCCGTTGCATCTGCTTTGCTTTGCTACTCTACGACAACTCCATTGAAATCCAGAGGTAATAATGAGGACACTGAGATTTTGCCTGATTCCATCACATTCCAGATTGAGGACAACATTGTTGGAAATTTTGAGAATATTTCAAATGAATAAACTATTATTTCTTTTAATTGTGTTTTCTACACTATTTTTAAATATCCGTTTATTATTAACGATACATATTTACTATTAATGCATACATGTAACGTATACATGAATATAATATTCATTTAACATGAGTACATGACCACTTACTTACTTTGGCAAGTTTCATACGTTGCCTATTCTTCTTATTATCATTATTATTTAATGTCCTTTATTATGAAGCAATTACCTCCTCTTGGTTGAAGAGTATAAAACCCATGCATACCTAGATGATCAAACAAGAAGGAAGTGAAAGATGAATCATTCTACGAAGTACATACGTTATAAGTACTATCCTCCGTTCGGTTATAAATGCAACCTAGCATGTGGGCACAAGATTTAAGAAACCTATACGGACATCTTTTTTTCCGAATTCGCCCTTGCTTTTAGCCGGCATATCTGACATAGTTATCTCTTTCACTTCCCAACTTTTCTTCTCTCTGCTGGTTTAGCTTCTACTCCGGAAAGACCAAATAATCGTTGCTTAATTTCAATATTTTAGTTTCGATTCAGCTCTCCTGAATTTGTTTAACATCATTTGAACTACAGATATTTAGTTTTAATATCCTGAATCGTATTATTGGCCACTATATTGGTTCAACAAATGTTAAAACTCCTTCGAAGCTGGAGATTCTTAATTTGTGTGCCGATTCAGCTCATCAACATCCAAATTCTTGAATTGACCTATAAAATCGTGAGAAGAAAATAACAGAGATGGAAAAGAAGATGAATGCCCAGATGCATGGAAGAAGAAAAAGGGGTCCGTATGTGGACAAGAAATGAGAGTTGGAGGGTTTTCAAAGGGAATAAATAAAACAAGCAGTGCTCCATTTCCTATTTAGCTCTCTTTCATACATGGCTTCTTCCTCATGGCTTCTTGTTCGCTCATCTCTGTCTAATAGAGCACCTGGTTTAGTTCATAGATTTAAAGGCTTATTAGGCGCAGTGGAAAAATGGATGGTGGATATATCGTGGGTGGGTGGAGATTTAATTTGAGGTGATGGGTTGACTTATTAAGCGTACAAAAGAAGTGTTGGGGTAGTATAGTCATTGTGATTATTTTTTCTTACCAAATATAGAAGTGTTGCATTTATAATGAAACTGCCCAGAATGGAAAGTGTTGCACTTATTTAAGAACGGAGGAAGTATATAGCTATTGCTGTATCGTATGTATAATCTTTGGGGGGAACAATTACTTGAGAAAGTGTACATTTTATCGTATCGTATACATAAATTATACTTTTATTACTGGGTTCACATACTAATTTTCTTCTCGTTAGTTATGTTACCGGTCTCGTACCGAAGGGCTCGTTATATCTTGGGGGAAATTTCCATACGCCGGAAATAATTCCTTAGGACAGCGTCTGACGCGTCTCGAGTCACTAATATACGTTTAGTTTTTTTTAGTGATTATTTTGCAGGTTAATTAGCGGAGCTAGATGGTCAACGAGGTCAACTTAGGAGCAGCACGATCAACACGTTGATTTTGAAAGGATAGAGCCAACAAACATAATTCTAACAATCTATTAAAATCCTACGGAATCCTAATTGAGGACACCCCCTTTGTTTCTCTAGAAAACAGAAATCCCGAAAACATTTTAATTGGGATAATGGGGCAAGTTGAATACTATTGGCCTTTATAATTCACAATGGGCCTCACCGGTCCAATATAATTGGGTAGAACAAATCAGCCCGAGTTTATTTAATTGGTTATCGGGCATGGCAGTTGACCCGTCAATGGTAGTATTATTCATAAATTGGGTCAAATCGAAGTAGCATTTAATCACTGGACATGTTTTAAATGCCTATAAATTGGCCATCAGTTCTCTTGTAGTCACAATGCTATTTTCACTATACTGAATTAATGTTGTTTTATCGGTAACTTATTTTTCTACCAACAATGTTTACTTTATTCTTTTCCAAAATTAGAAAAAAAGACGTTTCTACTTTCTACTATCTCCAAAGTTGTAAAACTCGCTTTAGTTATTCTTTGAAATTGAAGAAATAGAAAGCTTTGTGCTACATACAGTTAGGCTGATCCTGGACCGGAGTTATATTGGTCTGGTCTTTCGCCCAAATTGAAATCCAAATGAGAATGATTATAATAAAACAATAACTAGTTTTGTACCCGACCGTTGCAGATAAGAACTGTATAATTGAAGTTTGTGCAGATCATAAGAAGAAATTAACTGAACCACAAGTTTATTACTTAAAAAGGAAAATAACAAAGTTAGTAAACGATCAAAAAAGAAAAGTTGAAAAAGTTTCAAAGGATGAAAGAAATATTGATTATCCTCATTTTACTATCAACCGTACCCGCAAGTTGACTATTCCAATTAATGAGTAGACTATTCTTAATATTTATTAGGTAGTACATTTTTATGCATTTACACATTGCATTTGTTTCAAAACTATTATGTATTATCATTGTAATCAAATAATAATACATATAAATTTCATACTAAACTTTTTCTCCGTGCATCGCATAGGTGAGAATCTATTAACAATCAAAAGCCGAAGTATTACAATCATAACGTTCGAAACTACACTGGGGTGAGACAAAGAACAAAAACGACCTTTAAATGCGCTATTGATCGCTAACCCTGCAACAATGTAGACTAGTACCGCAGTATGACTGCTCATGCTACTCAAAATAGACCCGGTTTGACCATGCACCGAAAAGGAACTATATATTATATTTCTCGGAACAATTTTTTATCCATAAAATGTTACACAGTTTTCTGTATTAGGTAAATATATGAAGTGCCCGAAAGAAAGTACTCCATAACAATTATGTATACAATAGGCATCATAATTATTTCTGAATAATAGAAAACTATATGATGATAGTCATTAATGATTATGATTTTCATTAGGTAAAAAAAATAAAGGACATAAACATGTTTATTTAGAAAAATGTTTATTTTTATATGATGATAGTAATCTTTCATTAGTTAGTGTATACGTAATTAACAATTACCATATATGTATTCATATACAATTTTATACCGTGTTTTATATATATTGATAGAGTAAGTAAAAAAAACGCATAGCTCTATACTACCTCTGTTCCAATTCAAGCTTCTCATTAAAAACAATGACACAATTATTTAAACAATAATTAAATAATGTAGTTAGAGTATATTTTGAATTTGTTATGAGTATATAACATAATAAGGCTATTGATGATGATTGTAGTGCTATAGGTGTATGATTATGATATTTGATGGTTAATTAATTTATTATTATAAAATGCTAATTATTTTCTAAAACAGAAATAAGATGCTTTAGTAGTGGTACGTAAAATATAATACAGGTGAAAACAACAAATATTTTACTATAAAAGGGCAAATCATTAACATATTACAGTTGGATTGAAGGAGCAATAATAGCATTTCCTTGATTAATTACACATTCACGACATCTACCCCCACCACCAACCTTCTCTCTCTATAATGACCGTTTCATGAATTTAACTCAATGGTCTCAAAATCATACGGAGTAATTAATTAATACGGAGTAAAACGTGATCAGGTTAAGAAGATATTTTTGTTACTAATCAAGTTGTTCATATCAGAAGATTAGAATGGCTTTCAAAAATATTCATCTTGCACTAGCCAAGGTATGGTATGAATATAAGCATTACATACTTGCAATCACAAATCAACATGTATGTGTTTATGAGTGTGTTTGTGTTTCTTTTCTTAATTTAAATAATTTTCTTGTGATTGGGCAGACTTTTGGGCTGGAAAGATTTATAAAGAGAGGTGGAAGAAATAAGCAGAAAGGTGAGAGTGGTAGCGTGAATCATAAGAGGAGGAGGCCTCCTTCATGGATGACGCCGGCGGTATCGCATGGATGCCATACGGTGGAGAGAAGATTGCCGGCCGCCACCGGCAGTCCGGAGGTGGTGGTGCAGCGGGAGCAGGGGGAGGAGGGGTGCGAGTGGTGGTTCTATGGAGTTTTTCATGCTCGGATTGGCGCTGGACTTACAGAGTATTTACAAGACCATTTGTTCAATGGCAAGCTTAAAGAGGTTACCGTATACTATCTATATGTTTTGTGTACTCTCTAGTACTTCTTAAAACTTCCAAAGAGCAGAAACAGATTTTGGGTGCTTGACACTCTTTTTTCACTGCTCCTTTGTCTCAAAACCAACGATCAAAAGTCATTTTTCTAATTTGGGAGTAGCACCATTTGCGGTCCTTCAAAATATCAACTCATTTAGTACGTATGTTTCATAATCTTGGATACATAGACATATTCGTACATTATATTGAAGTGAACTAAAATTATATTATAATGTTATTCGTAGCTTAGTTTTTTTGGACGAAAAATCATATGAAATTGACCTGACCACATTTCCTAAAGGCGTGTCGGGCTTGAATTGTTGAATATACTCCGTATATAATACGTAGTACAACCTTTGGAGTATAGATTTGCTTTATTTTTATCGATTAATTCCATTCATTCAAATTGGTCAGAATGCAAGATTCCATAAATGGGTACCCAGAATTCCTGAAAGTATCCTTTTGAGAACCGACGTGTTTTGATCTCCTTAAACTATTTAAAATTAACACAAGTTGAACCATTTGAATTCAATATACGTAGTACATTTTAAATGATTTTAATTATAATTATCGTAGGCATATCTTTTCAAATTTATATCTTCCAAACAAAAATAAGAGTTTCTTTCACTTCCCCCTCCTTCCCCTTTCTCATCTAACCTTCAAATCTCGCATTCCCTTTCCTTGCAAACTCCCAAACATACCCTCTAAAACAATTTGCTCCTCAAACAATGTGCAATATATTGTGTTTAATAATTAAGTTATAATAAGGATGTTTTTACTTGGACTGTAATTTGCTGGTCTAGTCCGGTCTGAACTGGTCTAGTCTGGTAATGTCTAATTTCTTTGTATTTTTATTACTATCCAAATCTGGCCTGGTCTGAACTGGCTGGGACGGATTATCAACCGCTCTAGTGGGGGAGGGATCATAATTTGTTTTTTTTTTAAAGGTCCTCGGATGAGTACTCCAACAATAATTTGTTTTTTTTTGTTTGGTTTTCTTCTCTGAAGTCACAAATGAGGCGTAAGAGCAAGCAAACAATGAAGAAGGCACACCTCAGTGCAAGAGCGAAGATCATGATGGACGCAACAGCAGAGGAGGACCCCTGCAACCTCGGTTCAGCATCTGCGATTGTGATCAACGGGGAACGGCTTGTGATCGCGAACATGGGCGATTACAAAGCTGTCATCTGCAAAGATGGTGAGGCCTTCCCAGTTGGTGGTACAAGGCCGCGCTGGCAGAAGATGAACCACTGGTCCTGTAAATTGTTTCCAGGCATGAAATGAAATCATCAGTTTTAATCTTTCCGGTAGTTTAGATCCTTCAAAACACCCTTAACTGATTTGATTTGTTGTTGGTTGTGTCAGGATCTAGAAAGCAGGCTGGTGAGTCTGGTGCTTTCAAGGATTCTAGAAGCTCCGAAATTGCTGTCATGTCGGAAAGAATATATGGCACCACTGAACTTGTCATCCTCGCAAGTACTGGAGTATGGGAGGTAAGTTTTAGTTAACAAAGATTACTTTGCTCAACCCAACATTTTATAAATCCATCCTTTTTCTGTTTGCACGACAAGGAAAGAAAGATTTCTGGGTTTATAAGAAATAATTCAATATCCCTTGTTTGGGGGATGCCAGAATTTTCTGCAAAACATAAAATGATGATGGTTTTGTATTGTTTAAGGTTATGAAGGAGCAAGAGGCTGTGAACCTGATTAGACACATAGAGGACCCACAAAAAGCAGCTGAGTGTTTAGCAGAGGAAGCTTCAACCAGGATGAGCAGAAGCAAGATTGCTTGTTTGATCATTCGATTTGACTGAAGCTGCAAAACATCATTCCTAAAGATCAGAATTGAAAGAGGGAAAGTGTTTATCCAAGTCCTGCCATGGTACATGATGCGCGAGGCACCGGCTATCCCTTGCATGCAAACAGAATTTCTAGGGGATTTATTGTCCAAAACAACTACTAGTTTCAAGCAGAATCCGTTCCAGACTTAATTGCAATCAACATTATAAAAAAGCGCTTGGTCTATGATCAATTCGGAGCTACGCGGGATCTAGATGAAAATTGAAATTATGTTGACTACAACTTTGATAAAAATAAAATAAACAAATTCTCTCTACAAATATGAAACTCAGTCCAGTTTATGCCTCCAGTCTATTCGGAGTCAGATATATTCTTTATGCCATCAAATTCAATACAAACAAATAAAACCATAATTCTTTGTTTCCGTCCCTAAATAAACCGAGTAAATGACAGAAAAGAGCATGTTTCTTGCCGGTGTTTCTAAAAGGTGTAGGTTTGACTGAATTATTGGTTGAAAAGGTGTAACATATTTGGCAAATATGTTCAGCATTTGCAAAAAGAAAAAAATATGTACCTGGACATATTTGCCAAATATGTCAGTCTTCCTATTGGTCAAGAATATTAGGCGCGGATCGCCATCGTGGATTGTGAAGTGAAGGACTTGGATCGGCTTTTACTGAAGCACATTTGGTGAATCTACACGCATTAAATTAATATATGTCCAACATATTTGGCAAATATGTCAGTATTCCTATTGTTCAAAAGTATTAGGCGCGGATCGCCATCCTGGATCGCGAAGTGAAGGACTTGGATCGGCTTTTATTGAAGCACATTTGGTGAATCCAGACGAATTAAATTGATATATGTCCAACATATTTGCCAAATATGTCAGTCTTCCTATTGGTCAGAATAAGTTGGCTCGGATTGCCAATTACTCCAACATATTTGGCAAATCTGCTCTATAAAATCCACCACAAATCTCACTTCACAACACGTCTAACCGTTCCAATTTCTCTTCTTCTCCAAATTTTGGCCATCTCCTTCATCTTAACCCAAGTAAGTTTTTCCTTAATCTTTTTTAAGTTTAATTTAGTTAATAATTTAATTATGTTAATTTGTAGAAGTAGCAATGAAGTTGATACTTACAGCCATCTCCTTCTGTTAGAACTTTTATTGTGAGTCAAGTTTGTCTGTAAAGTCTTGTTTAATAAGGTAGACTAGTTATACCATTTATGATATTAGTATAATAATCATTTTGTAATAAATAGGTTAAAGGGAATAAGGCCCAAAAAGGCCTAGGCCCAAACTCCAAGGTTTACCTAAATCGGTAAGCTGTACAGCGCCTATAAATATGCGCCTTGTGTACAGGTACCGATATCGATCAATACACATTAGCCTTACGCTGCCAAAATTACTTCTCGATATAATAGAAAGAAGGTTTCTCTGTTCTCGATAACCTCTAATATCATTCTGTGAAATCCTTCTTCTCTGTTTATCGATGAAATCCATCTAGCTGTGTGTTAGTCTGCATTTACTGGGACCAACAACTGGTATCAGAGCCCGCTCGAGTGTGATCGTCGAAGAAAAGTTTTCGAAGTTCTCTGTTTTTCATACTTTTCGATATATATTTTTTTAATCACTGTAATCTTGTTTCTGATCGACAAACTGTAAAAGTTATACCATTGGATTCGCCATTCAGAAACGAACCAAGGGTATATCTTACTTTTCGATTTCAGTAGATTTGGTATTCTCGATTTCTCGATAGTATGATGTCGAAAAGCAGAGTTCTCGACATTCTAGCAGGTTTTTCGAGCTGAAAATCATTCCAGGAAGATCTCTGGATTTAGGACTTTAAACATTAGCTGTTTTATCTGCTTGGAATCGAAGAAGTTAATGATTGGAACTGATCTTGGCTTGAAGACAAAGAAAGCGAACATCTTGACTGCCTATGATGGTTTTAAAGCCCTACCTGGTGAGGCGCTCCATGAGACGTATAACAGATTCGTACAACTGATCAATGAGATGAGAAAGATCAAAGTTGTCAAATCTAATATGGAAATGAACATAAATTTCTTGTCGAGCCTGCCGCCAGAATGGAGAAGAACTGTTAAAAATCTACGACAGCACCTGGATTTGGATGAACTTGACCTCTGCACTGTCCATGAACATCTGCAGCAGTTTGTTAATGACACTGCTGACATGGAAGGAAGCTACCCAGCAAACCCATTAGCACTCATGATGGAGGCTCAGTCAATAATTTTTGTGCAACTCTTCTACTCTAATTACTTTAACCATCCACAACTACTCTATTAATGTCAACTACCACATCCACCTCACCTAACTATTATACTATAAATAGGGAGCTCCACCACACTCATTTTCACCACTCTCAAACAAACTTCTTTCTCTTTACGATTATTTCTACAAAGTATTAGTATAATACTATAACATGTCTAGTGAGGGTAGCATAGTTGTTCTTGTGCATTGGAATGGGGTGTTGACCGAAAATAATAATGAAGTCAATTACTCTAGGTATCCAAATGCTGCACTTTTTTGAGTGATCATACTACATATGCAACACTATGTGAGAGCATTATGCAAGAAATGTCCCGTGATGGTTTATATGATATGAACCATTCATGGAAAATTTCCCACATATAATTCTGAGGGAATATGTGTTGCCTCTATGCCGTGGCCTATCCATGACGACGGCATAACGCATAAATTATTGGCGAGCAAAGTGTGTTCCCAGTAGCCATAGAAAATGCAACTCCGGTTTCGGTAGACTTTTCAAGGAGCGACTGTGACTGCGACTGGTGGAGGATGAACTGGATGCCATGCAGCCACGTGCATGCTGTGTGTCACTTCCTCAACCCCCTGTCGATCAACTTATTCCGAAGGTATATAAATTGAGCTCTTACATTAATGCACATGCGGGTGATATCATGCCTTTACCAAATATGAATGACTGGCCGGATATTGGGATCCATCTTTTACCGTCGAAATATTTATCACGAACTTCTCGAGTGGGGCGTCGTCAAGAAACAAGGTTTCAAAATGAGATGGATATGCGTCCAAGCAGAAGAAGAGGACAACAATGATTTCATGTATTTTTTATATTTTAACGTTTTTAGTAATTTATTATGAAAGAATTGTACTTTTTAAGTTTTTAATAACAAGTTGTTTCTTATCATTTCAATAAATATTTCAATTCAGAATATTTAAATTTTCATTTCGGTAGATAGTACCGTATAATTGTTTTTGAAATATTTGATGAGGTAAATAAAGCATTGTACTGTTTAAGAATGTATATACAGGAACATATTAACCGAATCTGTTCAAACCTTTTTGTAATCGAAAATTGTTAACATATTCTCCAAATACATTGCTTGATTTCTTCTTCTTCTTTTTATTGAAAATTGTACAGCATATTCACTAAATACGTTGCTTGATTTCTTCTTTTTTATCGAAAATTGTTGAACATATTCGCCAAATACGTTCCCTTATTACTTTTTTCTTAAGAGAAATTATTGAACATATTCACCAAATATGTTCAACCTTTGGAATGGTCTGCAGATAGGAATCTACACCATTTGGAATTGTCAGCAAAGATTCTGCACTGTTTTGTCAATAACCCAAATAAACCACTTTCTTTTCTTGTCCATCCTAAAAAAAAGGAATGCATTATGCCATTATGTGGTTTATTCTCTTAGCTTCTGTGCCATGTCAAATTGGGCATTTATTTAGGGACAATGGGATATGTTGAACACCTACCCTTTGAGGCAAAATTTTTAGAATTCTCTTTTCTTAAAAAAGTTTTTTTATCATCAAAATGACTTTTCATTAATATAGAGCAAACATGCAAGACAAAATCCAGACAGCTATTACAGATCCAATCGTAAGCCCTAGGAATACACATAGAGTCAGCCACCCTTACAAAGTAACCTGACTTGCTAGACACAAAACGAGCAAGAACAAGCCTAAAACTATCAAAAATGAAGTATTGCCTATCAAAAGTTCTTCAAAACGAATGAGAAATCTTCGGCTGAGATAGAAAAAATTATTAAAAAGGAATCTAAACCTCTAAAAGACTGCTGCATGAGCCTGTAAGGTGTTAGAGAACCAAACACATTCGGTTGAAGTATCACTACATCCGTCATCTTCTGGAGATAGAGGCATTGCAGCTTGTGAAGATCCGTGGGAGTGAGAATCCAACAGACATGTTTACTAAGGTGGTAACCTTGGAGAAATTGAAGCTTTGCATAGCTTCAATTGGCCTGGGTACTTGAAGATGAAGGTCGGCGCTACCATGCTAACAAGGGAGGATTTGAAGAAGACAGTGTCAAGGTGGGAGATTGTAAGGTGTTAGAGATTGTATAACCAAACCCTATCCGAATTTTTTGGTCCGTTTTTGACGAACAAGTTTTCCGTACAGTTCCCGTACAGACTGGGTCATACGGATGTGGGCTACGCGCGTCCTAATTTAATTAGGGGTTATGTTTTATTCTCTATAAATACAACCTCTCTCCCTTGTAATCCCTGGATCCGAAAATATTAATAACATTTCTGGCTTGGTAGCGCCTCCAGGCGTAGTCATTCGTGGCGAACTGGGTTACCAAATTTTCGTGTGTTCTTTATTGTTCTTCGTGTTGCGTGCGTTAATTCTTAACAGAGCCAAGGGGAGTCAAAGTGGTCGGCCGACTCTCTTGAAAGTTTTAGAGTATCGAACTCTGAAATACCTTTGATTCGATATATTATGACCCTCGTAACTCGTTACGGGTAAAAAGTTATGACTTCTGGAAAATTAGCACTATTTAAACGTAAAAATGAGCGAAATTGGATTTGTAATATTAATTGTTTTCCCAAATTTTAAAAGTAACATTTAATTCACTCATTTCTTAAGTGACATGATTCAGAGACAGAGCAAACACAATCTATCTTACTCTTATGAGTGTCTACTCAATAGCCCTTTTTTAGGTAAGAAATAACCTGTTGAGAACAGAAAAAATAAAAATCAACGGGGTAAACTGTTGCCCGGATAATCAACGATAAAAATACCGTTGCTCAATGCCAAAAGGCTTAACTCTAATTTTATTCCAATTCAATATGATCAACAATCAATCCTAACAAGGGGTTTAAATACCCATCTACTAATTCTCAAACTAGGAAACAAAATCTTAGAAACCATAATCAACTCCAACTAGGAAACAAAATAATAAAGATCCTAATCAACTTCAAATAGGAAACAAATAATAGAAATCCTAATTAACTCCTAATAGGAAACAAATATTAGAAATCCTGATTAACTCCAAATAGGAAACAAATCAGGAAAATTAAAAAGAATAAATATTAATTAAACACCCGCAACCAGCCCACGAAGGTTGGCTCAAGCCCGTCCCCGCCCTCAGTAAACCCACAGAGGCTTCTGCCCCTCTTCTTCCAAGCCCAGATTCTGCTTCATATCATAACCATATTAAGTTGGATGAGCGGGTAACTATTAAAGTTACAAGGTAAGACAAAACGTATCTTCCGAGGCAGCCAGCTGTGCAAAACCCCGTCGACTAAACAGTTAAATTTCCCGAAATAATGTTAATTAAATAAATAATTCCCAAAATACTGTTGGGTTAAAAATAATTCCCAAAATACTGTTGGGGTTAACCATGGTTATGGCGCAGTACAAAAGCCGCCATTTGAAGTGGCGGCTCTTGTGTTCAGGAATTTAACACGGCTTGTAAATTTCCGTTCTTTACCGCAGTACTTTGGAGGCCTAAGTTTTCAACCCATGTGCCTAAGAACCCTATCCTCCTTTTTCTTAATGAACTAGATAAAGTACCCGTGCGATGCACGGGTATATCTAGAATTAAAATAAAGTAACATATTATTTAAAATTATATTTTATTAATAAATTATATTTTGCTAAACAAAAAAGACATAGATTATATATATTTTAAATTTGATTATATAATAGAACTCGTAAGGAAATGAAAATTTCGATTGAATGAAAAATTGCAAGTAAAGTTAAAATTAATGATAAAGTGTAAGAATAAGCTCTATGTTACAATGGAATAATATTGCAGTACAATTATAAGTGAGTCACATGAAACGGTATGAAAATTTAAGATAATCATATATCTTGATAATGTTCAAAACTATCATAAAATTTCAAAAAAAATCATTATAGGCCACATATGTTGATAGCACGACCCTCGTCATCAAATCTATGAATCTCTAACACACCCATTGAGGTGGCATTTTACATGATAACATACAATTGGCCATGCATATATTCCGGATATATGCCCACTTGTATAGACATTATCTTGACTACTGTTTATGTCATGGACTCGTGGGAAATGAAACGATGATGGAGAATTTCCAGTTTAAAATCTGAAATAAGTTTTGTCAGACACTTATGCCTATTTAATCTTCACCTCCAAAACACATTTACGATTAGCAGTGTGAGTGAGAATTCACTCTCATTCTTCAAACTCTGTTTCGGTGCAAAGAATTGTTCCGTGTTTGCAACATTTTTTTAGAAGTGTTTGCAACATTTAATAAAGCGTAAGGATAAATATATTAGATAGTTTACAAATAAATACAAAGTAAACATCCATTTATATTATTAAGATGCATATAATTCATGATACGTATATTAAAAACACTATGCCAATAAGAGGTTGTATCTAATTCACTCAAAAAGTGGAGAACAATCATATATTAATGTAATTTTTGTGGTTTCAATCAAGCCCAAACAATTCACATTGAAAAACGGGGTGTAAAATTAAAAGATATTTAAAATAGGGTTGTAGTCTAATTCCATAGTAAAATATAATTATTCAATTGGTATGTGTTGTGATATTTTAGTTATTACTGTTGTGGTGGTTTAGGGTGTTTTAAATTTGACAGAAATTTTATAGTCAAGTTTGACCTGATCTGAATTGATCTAATATGGTTTGGTAGATGTCTATTTTTGTGTGTTTTTGCATTGTCGAAGTATGATCTAATATAGTCTATTTAACTCTAGAGTTGTCTGAGACTGAATACTATATCTTTTTCTTTTCACATTATTTTCTTTCAAACCCTACCGAATTTTACTATTAATCGCTTCTCACCTAATATTTAAAACAAACCACTCATAAAAAAGAGAAACACTTCCAAAATTCACTGTAATGGAATAGGTTTGTCACAGATTAACTGGTGATTTCGTTCCAAAGAGCTCGTTCCAAATTGTTTTTGGGACGACTTTGGCATGTCCCTGTCAAAGCGTTAATTAATTCTTTTCAAATCCCTGTAAAAAATCTTTGTCAATCTTGTATTTTTTGTAGTGCAAAACAAAGCTTTTTAGCGGGATGGGCCCGTTTGGTGACCATACTTTCGGTTTATCAACCTTATCAGCCAATTTTTTCACCAAACACGAAACTTTTGATTCCGCGGCTCCGCGCATTAGAATAAAAATTTCTTATACATGGTTAATAATATTCTCTATGTTCTACTGGATTTTATCAACTTTCCTTTTTGTTTGTCTAAAAAAACTTTTTCTCTTTTCTTTTAAATTAATCAATGAACTTGTGTCTCTATTCATTTCTCTCTCTAATCTGCACAAACCTCAACACATCATCATCATCATCATCTTCTTCTTCTTTTATTCTTTTTCTTTTTTTACTCCAGAGGGCGTCTGGGGGAGGGGGCATGAAGTAATCGGGGCTGAAACTCACTCCATTGAGTTTCGAAACTGAAACCTCCCGTAAGGAAGAGTGATGATGTTTTCTTTTGGACTGAAATTTGCTGGTCTGGTATGGTCTGATCTGATCTGGTCTGGTCTGGTAAACGTCTGGTCTCTATGTATTTTATAACTACGGAAGTAAAGGCTGGTCTGGTCTGATCTGATCTATCTGGTCTGGTCTGATCTATCTGGTCTGGTTTGGTCTGGTCTGGGACTGAAAACAGTCCAAAAGAAAACATCCCGAGTCAGCGACCAGTTGGCCTGGACCGCTTCCTCCTCCTCCTCCTCCTCATCATCATCATCATTTTCGTAATTTTATCATTATTGTTATTGTTATTGTTGTTATATTATTATTATTATTATTATTATTATTATTATTATTATTATTATTATTATTGAAAGTTATTATTATTATTATGGTTACTTTTTAGTTCCTACCATTATACTACTTTTATTAAAAGGAAAATCTATTACTAAGTTTGATCACTACCCTTATATAGTTGAGATGTGCATTCTTAGCGGAAATTTTGGAGTAAACAATTTGTAAATTCCCTACCATAAAATATGTGTATGGCCATTGTATGTTTGGGAGTAGTTTTTTCTATCTCTCCAGATTCTCCCGATCCATAATGTTAGTTGCATACATATATGCTTGATAATGGAATATGTATATACCATAATGTTAGTTGCATACATATATTTTGCTTTAAATGGAATTTGATTTATTACCACAATAACACACAATTCCTTTGATAGCAAATATGGAGCCATAACTATACTTACGTAAAGTATCAATTTGTATGGAAAATAGTTTTCGCACTTTTAACCGGAATTGATTACATACCTTATTTATCTATATTGGTCACAATTTATTTAACGGGATTACATTTTTATGATAAATAAATAAATTTACATTTTTATCCTTATTTTGGGCGACAAATTTCCCTCCAATTATTGTAGCTACACTGCTACTTTATATTATATAGAGATAAAGATTACTTTTTGCATCATCTCCAATGCATCAACAATTTCTGGTTTCTTAAAAGCTGGAACATGCCACATCCGAATTATACGAACATGACTATCCATTCAATAGATCCAAGCCAAATTTATCTAGATGCACTCTCTTAACCGGCATTGTTAACTGAAGAGGAAAAATAATGTACTAATATGAAGTGTATAAGAGTTTGCTTGAGTGCCATAAATTCTTATGTTTTCGCTTATATAGGTATAAATCGTTTAGGTTTTGTAAACTTATTAATTGCTGCAATATCTCTTTTTTTGACAGATTTTGTTAACGTAATTGATTCGTGTAGGGCTGTTTTTAGGATAGATTTTAGGGAGTCAATAATTACTGAAATAGAGATGATAAGATTATGGTAAGATTCCATGTTATAACTTAAATGTGACAAATTGGTATTATATACCGGACAGATTTGTGAACTATGATTTGTGGACAGATTTTTGGCCGTATGTATCACAATATATTGTTGAAAGTTCCCGAAATAGGACTAAAACAATTTGATAATTCCAAAATAGGACTGACATGTTTTTTATTTCCAAAATAGGAAAAATTACTGCCACATTTGGAAAATATTGCCATGTTTGAAGTCTGGGACTACCAAAACATGACAGTAATTAGTCCTATTTTGGGAATAAAAATATGACAATTCTATTTTTTGAATTTTCAAACCATTTTAGTCCTATTTCAGGTAATATCTCATTGTTCAAATATACACAGGACACATATGTATGACACGTATATTATAAATATGGGCAATAAATGCAGTTCTTTTTTGTTCCTTTCCGTTTCTTGGACTTGAGGTATATTTTTGGTTTACACAATATGGAGGCATTTATTGTCCGATGGTTGTGCATTGTTAAGCATTAGTTTCCTATTTTGACTCTAATTTGGGCGGGAATTTTCCCTGACTGTTACTTTATATTATATAAAGATTATTTATAGGTTTTAGGATTTCCCTTCTCCACCCACCCGCCTGATAATAAAGATTCCTTTTTTGTGTTTTGTTAATTCTATCTTATTGTTAATATAATTGTTTATCCACAAAATATACCTTTAATCTTTTATTGTTTATATGTTTGTTTGTCATAGAGAGGGAGGGAGAAAGAGGATAGGGATGGTGTAGCTGGCGGTGATGTAACAGGAGGAGGAGAAGTTGTTGGAAGGGGTGGCGATATTGGATTTTGATATGCTTTGCTCCAAGGGGGGAAACTGGTAAATTTGGAAGGTGAAGAGGAAGAAATGGGTGGGCATGAATACAAGATTAAATTCCTACCATTATTAAACGAAAAATATTTGCTTCTAAAATTGCAGTCAACACAAGAGCCGCCACTTGAAGTGACGGCTTTTCTTAATTGTAGTTAATCCCAACAGTATTTTGGGAATTATTTTTAACCCACCAGTATTTTGGGAATTATTTATTTAATTAGCATCATTTCGGGAAAAAAATCGACTAAACAAGTATAAAAACGAGTTTATAATATATATGATTTATATATCAAATCTATAAATCTATTAGTCTCATTGAAACTACTCTCTTCGTCCCATTTAAAGGTTCTCGTCCACTATTCTCCAGTTAACATGAATTGTTCTTAATCTTTTACTTTATATATCCAACTTTTATCAGATTTAATTTTTCTTGATCAAGTATTATAAAACTTTTAATGTAGTTTCTGAATATATAAGTTTTATTTACTAAAAATAACCTTATTACTGACAGGGATCAATTAATTTTATGATAATTCAAACATCGTAAACCGTGTGGAAACCTTTAAGTGGGACGGAGGGAGTAGCATTTATTTAAATTACATATGAAACATTCAACTCGGGCATTGTCTAAACATAATCCACCATTTTTATTTTGTATATAGTTGAGTTTCGACCTCTGAACCGTTTTTTTGGCTCCGCCACTGGAGAGAAGCAAGCGGTCTTTAGTGGGCATTCAACGACCGACTCCATTAAGCTCATCTGCCTCCTTGTCTCAAAAGTTGAATGAAAGAGGGCTGGATTTTTCATCTCATGAATGGTTATTTCCACCTTTGATCCTCAAAATACAAGGGATGTTGGAGAAAAGTAGGATGTTTGAGAAAAGTAGGATGTGGTGAAATTTGCATTTATTCACCCCGTGGGTTGGAGATGGTCTAAGCGGGAATTAGTCATGGTTTGACAGGACTTTTACAGCAATGGCAGCAACATAACGCCCAGGCTATCTGTCAAGACTCAAATGCCCCCACACAATTCATCCCCCTATCTCAAAACAGAAAACAAAAGAATAACATTTCACCCTGCACATAATATATTTAAGGTTCCATTTACACGTACTTGTATACAAACTGGAAAGACATTGCTGCATGTCAACCCGAAGAAGTTTCAGTTTTCATGAAGTTGTGGAGTTGATTAAGTTGAACAACATTCAATTAGAAAATAACTTACCTGAGTAAACCTTGGTTTTATGACCTCAACTTCTTTTCACTTGTCCTACTCCAGAAGTTGGTCAACAAAGAAAAATGACGAGCTGTAATACAGAGGTCTATGTATCAGTTTACTTTCATTTAAGTTTAAAGAATATACTTGATGGTGTAGCATTTGCACTCACACTTTTGAACAGCATTGTCAACTGCTGAGGTTTCATCTCGTGACATCAAATTCTTCAAAGTATAAACTGAAAGAAGAAATTCAAAGATCAGCTTTAAAGATATTATACGCACATGACCCCTTCTACCCAATCAAGTAGCACAGTATCAACAAAATGCAATACACTTTGAATTCCAAATAAATGTCAACATTTTGGATATAGATATCTTTGAACATAATGATGTTCCCAAAAAGGAAACTGGGGAGCATGTTCCATTGCCTCTAGTTGCCATTCATTATTCTGACTTTCTGAGCATGTACACCTTGTGAATTTGCAAACTTCTCTTGAGAACCATAAGAATATATTAGTATTTGGTCAACATTGTCATACTCACTGACACTCAAGTGTGCTAGAAATCATAAACGGAACAGGTTCACTAGATTTTTGAGAGCAAAATGAACAATATTTTGGTCAGTGTCACATTACCTTCACTTGATGAAGTTGTATTTGCTGCATGGCCATCCTGATGCTTTAGCCGATTAACACTTTTTTGGTCTGGTTCAAGATTTTTATCACATGCAGTGGGACAGTGTTTCTTCTTACCAAATTTCCATAGCCTCCAGAGGCCTCTTGGTGGCTCCTTAACTCGAGCTTTTGCTGAATCATCCTGAATGGTATACTCCCCATCAGTTCTAGCACTTTCCACAAGTGATTTCATTGGTTTTGCTAATGCCAAGTCTGAGACTGCCAAGGAGGTCATAGGAGCATAAGGAGCTTCATAAGGTTTTCCACCAGGGCCCGCTTTTGCAACTTTAGGTGTCTCATGTGCACATTTTTCTCCAACCTAAACACAGAACAAGAAAAACCTTAAAAATCTTGATAACGACACATTTTGAGAATTAGTTCTGTTTGTCAATGCTCTTCTCTGCAGTCAACATGCAGTGATTGAATCTTGCAAAGCAACAATGAAGTGAAAACCAGACCTAGAACTGTTATTGGGGCTATATTCTAGATTCATAAATGATTTTCCTCCCATTTGTCATGTACCAAGTACATGAATTTGCGCAAAGAAATAAATGAGTAAAACCCAGACCTAGTACTGTTGTTGAGATCATTCTAAACTCATCAAGAAATTTCTTCCCAACTGTTCACTAAACAATCCCAAGGTTCTATTGAACTCGTCAATCAATCATCATTTACCCCAGTGCCGCAAAGGTTCCCACCTATGGTGGGGTAAGGGGGGTCGGATGTACGCAGTCTTACATCTGTACTAAAGCACAAAGAGCCTGTTTCCGGATGACTCATAATGAAAATCGCGTCCAAAATCGCATGGACTGACTGTTGCTTCATAACAAAGAAGCGCAGACAGTTTGGTGAGCCATTTTGCTTTATTCCATCATATTCTCAAGCCAAAAAATAATGAATCTTTGGCTCCATTGCAAATGATGGAAAATTCTGTTGAACTCGTCAGAGTGAATAAAATGTATAGACAAGTGAGACTAGCTTCCTTTAAATGGGTATATGTGTACTACATCTGCGAGAGTTCCAAGTTCTAGCCTCAGCGATAAATTTTCCTTACAATACGACTGAAAACATAGACCCTACAGTTGATAAGTTTCAAGGGTTAATATGACAAGTTACTATACGAACTGTGAATATCACCAGATGACCTAATGGAAGCTACATGAATTATATTTGTCCATTTATGTAGTTTAGTATTCTAGACTTGCAAGTGCATAAATGTAATTCAGTACTAACCAAGGATTAGTGTGCATACCCCTGCTAGGAACAGAGTACTTGTCTAAAAAGTAAAAGCACATTTGTCAGCTTAAAGAAACCATTGTGAAAAGACATTTGAGAATTTAAGTTAACACCTTTGAGGTCAAAACTAATTAGATCATAAACTAAATATAGAGGATATCCTATAAAAACAATCAAAATGCTTATTGGAAAAGAATATATAATGAAAAACTTAATGTCATGATCTACTTTATTATGCCACCATGAAAAGATTTTTTTAGTGATCTATGGTACATATAGTAATGATATTCCACTTTTTAGTCCCAAACATTAATATGCATAAGTATAGTCCCTCAAATATTAAAACTTGATTTTAGAAGTCCAAAACTGATACTTGGGTATAAAAGTTGAATACCACACAAGATTAAATCTGCAACCCCGTTCAATGAAAAACAAACATAGAATATCCAGGACTCATACGTCACACGCACAGGCATATATAAAAGAAATGAACTGATACCATTCCAGTTTCCATGCATTTCAAGTGATTCAAGTTTGCCACAAAATATTTAGAGCCGAAAAGCATTGACTAGTTCAAGGACAATTCCCATAGCCAAATATATTTTACCAGGATTACCTCACATGAGTTCAGTTGTCCCTGATCCAATCCAGGAATAGGATCACTGACAAATCCCACAAAAGGTGAAGGAGGTGCATCAGTCGGCACTGCATGCTCAAATACTACTGAAATTTTCTCCCCTAAGTGGCCATGACTGTAACACTGTTGGCTAAGTACTCTACATTCCTCTCCTGATGCATGGGCAACAGGTAAGGATGAGATTTCACATTCAAGCATTACTACGGTCTTCTCAACAATGTTTTCATCACCTGCACTGTCACATGGAGCTTTCTCACCATTCACCATTGATTTCACATTTGCAGAATTTATTGGAGGTCCTGAAACATTCATATTATCTGAAAGCCCTTTTGGGGATCTGATCTTCAGTTCAGGAAGAGTTGCAGCCTGTGTTGCATCAAGGTCTATGACTTCGGATATTTTGGTGTTCTCAGGTTCTTTGGATTTCCTCAGTCTTATCAATGTTTCAGAACTATGTGCCTTGACTGATGCAACAGGCCAATTTACAGTCTTTGGCTCAGATAACTTTCTAACCCTTGTCGTGGATGCTTTTGAATCTGGTGTCACAATATTACTGCTTTTCTTATTGGGATCAGACCATGACGATGCTGATTTTGTTAACCTGTTATTGTTCGACTGCCCATCACTAAATTTATGTGACTTAGAATCCTTCGGAGAAATAGTTGATACGAGAGGATTTCTTATTTTGGATCTCTGTAACGGTGATGATGATCCTGGTTCTAAATCACTGAACTTTGACCCTCTGATGGGGGATGGCGATGGGTTTATTGGCTGCTGTCTTCTCTGTGATAGTGGTACCACTAAATCGGCAGAAGTGTAGCTGCCTCTTGCTGCAATTCTCTTGTGCCTTTCCAGATTTAAAGCTTCTAAGCATTTAATATCTGCCTCTTCCTGAAAAAATGGTACATCTTTGAACTTGTGGGGAAGATGTGTCATCAAAGAAGCATGGATAGAACATTGAAAGCATGCGGAAATAACGCCTGATCTATATATTGACTTGTGAGTTGAAAGTTCCTTCTAAATCTAGCCATGTCAGTATCTCTCTGACTCTCACTAATCTTCAAAGTATAATATATTGATCAACTGTTAAGTTTAAGAAGCAGAAGCCATATTATACATTATGTATATGAAGATTCAAGTAATGTACCTTTTCCATTTTCATCTTCTGGGTATCTTCCTTAAAGGCTCTTAATCTCTCTGCATGAACTCGTGCATAATGTACAGGACTTGTCATTGATAGCTTTCCTCTTCTTATGGGTCCTACAGTGTTTTTATTATCTAAATCAGCTTTTCCTCTCTGGTCCTTGTCCATCTTTGTATTTACTTCTTTCACAATACTGGAGGCTTTCTTTTTTCCTTTTTCCTGTGAAATGTTATCTTTAACATGAGCTTTCATTTCATAGTCCAAAGTGGGGTTGTACCTTCTGCAATTTTCTTCTGACACACATTTAGGAATTAGGTCTAGATTACTTCTCTTATAATTGACTTGGCTTCTAACTCCAATAAAATTGCTTTCTGTATTTCTAATAGCTGTAGAAAGTTCACAGTCACAATGAGTGATGATTTCTGGTACAGCAACATTGAATAGCATTGACCTAACAGGTACTATAAAAGATTCATCAGCCATATATTGTGAAGAAGCTTTATCCAGTATATTAGTCACACTCTGAAGTCCCTTTTCAGTAAGTGTATTTATAGAATTTCTTGACCCTGAGAAGTGTTCCCAACCAGCCAACGTAGAATCATGACTCACAGTTTCGGCATAGACCTTTCCCCCATTTGTCTCAGCATACTGAAGGTCAATTTGATCATCGTGTCCCAAGATGTTGCCGCACTCCCTGATAGAATGTAAAACACCATCACTTGATCCGCTGGGGATGCAGCAAGACATGTCTATACTAACTCTATGAATGACATTATCCCTACTATCCTGCAAATCATCTGCACCTTTCCCACCAAGAGTGGTATGATCATCACCTGTAGGATCTTTCTGTATCCTTACATATTTTCCCTTTGCAGGCATGTGACCCTTTTCAGTATAATTATCTTCACCTGATTCTTTAAATAGTATGTTTTGAAATGCTAGCCAGTATCCACCATCAATTTCAGGTTTATTAACTTCCCTTTCATCATATGAATTTGGATTGCTAACTTTTGCTTTAAATGACCGGGGAGCTTCAATCTTCACTTCATTGTTGCTACATTTCTTATCTGTCAATTGTATTTTTGGTCCATTTCTCTGCATGACACCCACTTGAGCGTCTTCCACACCGTACGGAGGATAAAGAGGGTTATTCTGTAAATAAGTGTGATGATATGGCAGTCGTTGGACATAATAAGGCTGCAAAGGAGGTGGGGCAGAAGACGGTGAATACATTGACCAGATAGGAAACTGGCCTTGAGGGTTTTCATGTTGACCTTTTGGCAGATGTGCATCCATAGGAGCCCTTTGACCTGAATAGGTAAACGCAAAAAAACTTGATAGGTTTTTTAAAGTTGTCACTTCTTTGATGAGCACATTCAAATTGGTATACCTTATTTCCTACTACGTATTATTATTTCATTGCTTCTCGTTATTCTTTTATTTTTAATACCCTTGCCACTTGAGGAAATAAGACGATGATTTCTTCATGTCCCTATCATATCATGTCTTCTTTAATATTCAATAAAACTATGCAATGGATTACTTCAAAAAAGGACTTGCAGAGAGCTTGGAAATAAGACAATGATTTCTTTGGATTGCTTGTGCATCCAACGGATCGTTTTGCCAGTTTCAACAATTCCATAGGTGGAAAAAATAACAAGTAATTTATGGTCAGCATGTAAGCCATTTTAATAGTTTGCAACATGAATGTCATTGAGTATAATTTTATCTTCAGATGTCATAAGTCATTAACACATGATTTCTTAGAAATGCCTTCTTTGGGTGCACTTTAGTTGGCACTACATATATTGGCAGCTAAGAACCATGTTAATATCTCTTACGTGTACCCCCACTTGTAGAGTTGCAGTCAGTGGGGGCAAAGTATCTAGCATATAATAACTGATACTCAAGATGGACTACAGATTCACCAAGAGGGGTCAAATGACTTTACTTTCTTACCTGCAATGCAGTCTGTGTTTAGCTTCTCATTACTGTATGAAGCCTTCTTGTCAAATAAATCTGTTTGGCCTGCCACTACTTCTGCTGCTCCAGTTTCAAGGGGTTGTCCAAACTCATGTTTTTTCTTCCAGAGTTCCATGAATCTGAAGCAGGCATCCCTGAAACACAATTCTCTTATAATTTAAAATGAGAGAAAGAAACTTGAGTGAGACAGGCCGAGTGAACTAGAAAGTGTAAGTTTGAGGAATTAATCTTCCTTAATAATATTGAGCCATGCGGCTGAAGTATTTATACAGAGTATAGATAACAACTATTCTGTTTCAGATCCTAAAAAATAGGATCTATCTATCTGCGTTCTTATCTACTAATTAAAGCTGTCTATCAGCTCTAATTCTAATCTATACAGCAACGGATGTACATAGAATAAAAAATACAATAATATGTCACATTTTTCAACACTCCCCCTCAAGTTGGTAAGTATATATCATACATTCCCAACTTGCTTATAAGTAGTTCAAATGCTGGTTTGAACAGTCCCTTTGTTAGAATGTCAGCAGTTTGTTCCTTGGTTGATATGAATGGAGTACACACAATCCCAGCTTCAATCTTCTCTTTGATGAGGTGTCTGTCTACCTCAATATGCTTAGTACGATCATGTAGCACAGGATTATGAGCAATATTGATAGCTGCCTTATTATCACAGTATAACTTCATAGGCAGTTCCATCTCCATATTCAATTCTGAAATTACCCTTTTGATCCAAAGTAGTTCACAGATTCCATTAGCCATAGATCTAAATTCAGATTCTGCACTACTTCTAGCAACTACATTCTGCTTCTTACTCCTCCAGGTCACCAGATTCCCCCAAACATAAGTACAATACCCAGATGTTGACCTTCTGTCAGTAACTGAGCCAGCATAGTCTGCATCTGTAAAAGCTTCAACACTTCTATTGTTGCCCTTTCTAAAAAATAATCCTTTCCCTGGACAGCTTTTCAAATATCTTAAGATTCTGTAGGTAGCATCAAGATGTTCCTGGAATGGATTATGCATGAATTGACTCACCATACTAACTGCAAAGGCAATATCTGGCCTCGTATGTGCCAGATAGATCAATCTTCCCACTAATCTTTGGTATTGTTGAACATTAACTGGAACTCCTTCTTTGACATCTCCTAACTTTTGATTAGGATCAATTGGAGTATCTATTGGTCTGCAAGCACTCATACCAGTTTCATGAAGAAGATCTAGTACATACTTCCTCTGGGACACTACAATCCCCTTCTTTGATCTGGCTATCTCCATGCCAAGAAAGTACTTCAATTCTCCCAAGTCTTTAATCTCAAATTCCTGGCCCATCTTTTTCTTCAAGTCTTCTATCTCTTTATAGAAGTTTCCTGTAAGAATGATATCATCAACATAAACAATTAATATTGCAATCTCCCCCTTACTTGAAAACTTCATAAAGAGAGTATGATCTGCTTGAGCTTGTTTGAATCCCTGTCTCTTTATAAACTGAGTAAACCTGTCAAACCAAGCCCTTGGGGACTGTTTAAGTCCATACAAGGCCTTTTCCAACTTGCACACCTTTGAGCCATACTGACCCTCAAACCCAGGAGGAGGGCTCATGTATACTTCCTCTTCAAGTTTCCCATTTAAGAAGGCATTCTTCACATCTAACTGTTGAAGTGGCCAGTCTAGGTTAGCAGCCAAGGATAGAAGAATTCTTATAGTATTTAACTTTGCAACTGGAGCAAAAGTTTCAGTATAATCTATTCCATAGGTCTGTGTATATCCTTTGGCTACTAATCTGGCCTTATATCTTTCAAGTGTTCCATCTGCCTTGAATTTGGGAGTAAATACCCATTTGCATCCCACTGTTGGTTTGTTCTTGGGTAATTCTACAACCTGCCATGTCTGATTCTTTTCAAGAGCATCAATTTCCTCCAAAACAGCCTTCTTCCACTCAGGTTTAGATAGAGCTTCATGGATAGTTAAGGGAATAGAAATAGAGGAAAGACTAGAGGTAAAGGCTGCAAATGATGTTGATAATTGAGAATTAGACACATAGTTTGAGATGGGGTATTTAACACATGACCTTCTCTCTTTTCTGAGGGCAATTGGTAGATTTAGATCACTAGAGTTATTACCTTTGTCACTTTCTGACACTGAGTCAGATTCATGAGCAGTTGCAGAGTCAGAGATGTTCTCTATTCTTTGATTTGGAACTCTCCTTTCATAAACTTTGCCCCAGAATTTACTTGTCTGCTGCTCATCTCCTTCCCTTGTTTCAGGAATATTTATTTCATTTTCTTCTGATTCTTGACTATTTTCTAGTGCATCTAAAATTCTGTTATGATGTGCATCTAGATTAATTTCAAGAAACTCAAGATTTTCATGAATATGTTGAACAGTATTACCATCTTCACAAGAATTCTCCCCCTGAAGATGAGTATTATTAAAAAAAGGTTGATTTTCAACAAAAATAGTGTTCATTGTGATAAACATCTTTTTTGTTGTAGGATCAAAACATTTATAGCCTTTCTGTGTTGAAGACAGTCCTAAGAAAATACATTTTTTGCCTCTAGGATCAAATTTGCTTGCAGTTCTATCAGGATTTGTAACAAAAACTGTGCAGCCAAAAATCTTTATGGGAAGAGAGTTAATAAGTCTAGTTTGAGGAAAACAGTTTTGAAGTGTATCAATAGGAGTTTTAAATCCTAGGGTTTTTGAAGGCATCCTATTGATTAAATAGGTAGCATGCAAAACAGCCTCTCCCCATAAATATTTTGGAACCCCAGTAGAGAACATAATTGCACGAGTAACTTCAAGCAAATGTCTATTTTTCCTCTCAGCTATTCCATTCTGAGCAGGTGTATTTATGCAGGAACTTTGATGAATAATCCCTTTTTCAGCAAAAAAATTGTTTAAATTTTTAGAAAAATACTCAAGACCATTATCACTTCTTACCATTTTGATATTGGTATTGAACTGAGTTTGGACCATTGAGTAAAATTTTTTGAACACGTCTTCAACCTCAGATTTTTCTTTAATTAAGAAAACCCATGTCACTCGTGTGTGATCATCAATAATAGTTACAAACCATCTTTTTCCTTTCAAGGTTGAAACCCTAGATGCACCCCATATATCACTGTGCACAAGGGTGAAAGGACTAGTTGGTTTGTAACTATGAGGGATATAAGAACTCTTATGATGTTTGGCAAGTGCACACATATCACAATGAAATGATGAAGGATCCTTATTATGAAATAATTTAGGAAACAATTTTTTTAAATAATAAAAACTGGGATGACCTAACCTATAGTGCATTAAATACACTTCGTTATTACAAGGAAAGGAAATAGTTTGCAGACAAGTTTTTTCTGGATCTTGTTTATTCAATTCAGTTCCTTCATCAAAGACATATAGTCCATTCTCCTCTCTAGCACTGCCAATCATCCTCCCCGATGCCAGATCCTGAAAAAGGCAATAAGAAGGATAAAATCTTACACAACACTGAAGATCTTTGGTTATTTTGCTAATAGAGATAAGATTGCAGGAAAGTTTTGGAACATGTAAGACTTTAGAAAGGTTAATGGATGAAGAAACTTTAATATTTCCCAACCCTGCTATGGCTGAAAAAGAGCCATCTGCAACTCTAACTTTCTTATCTCCTGCACAAGGTTGATATGAAGAAAAAAAATTTGGAATGAAGGTCATATGGTCTGTTGCACCTGAGTCAATGACCCAGGTACTTTTTGGTTTTTTAGAACAAAAGTATGATGTAATTTTACCATTTTGGGCAAAAGAACAAGAAGGGTTTTCTTGGTTGGAGATTTTCTGGGTAGGTAGAAACTGAAGAAGGTAGTCTATCTGTTCCTTTGTGAAAGGCAGCTGTTTAGAGTCAACCTCTGACTCTTGTTGAGTCTCAGTCACAGTAGTTTGTAGAGCCCTTTCAAATTTCTTCTTTCCAGCTCCTGGTGGCTTTCCATGAATTTTCCAGCATGTTTCCCTGGTGTGCCACAATTTCTTGCAGTGATCACACCAGGGTTTTTTTCTGTCATCACCTCTGGCCACTAAAGCTGATGAGTCCCCAGGTTCCTCATTAGGTACTGGAGTGTTGTTCATGACCCTCCTTCTGCTATCTTCCAACCTGATCTCAGAAAAAACCTCTCTGATTGAAGCCAGAGGTTTTTTTCCAAGTATTCTGCCTTTTACTTCATCTAGGTCCCTATTAATTCCAGCTAGAAACATATAGACCCTATCATTCTCTTCTCTTTTCTTATGTCTTGCTAAATCCTTAGCACTTTCCCACTCTTCATTATCATAGCATTGGTCTAATACTTGCCACAGAGATACCATTTCATTGTAGTATGAAATGATATCCCTATTTCCTTGTTTAGACTGCCACAACTTGGTTTTGAGTTCAAAAATTTGAGAAGAGTTCTCCAGATCTGAATATGTTTCCTTAATAGAGTCCCATACCTCTTTTGCAGTTTTCATAAACATATGAGGTCTGGCAATTAAGGTCTCCATGGAGCTGAGAAGCCAAGCTGTTATGAGTGAATTCTCTGACCTCCATGTGTTGTATCCTTCCTCTCCAGGTAATTTAGGTTTGATTTCTCCTGTGAGGTAGCCCAGTTTCCCCCTCCCATCAATTGCGAGCCTGACAGATTGAGACCATTCCAGGTAGTTTGTTCCATTCAATCTATGACTAGTGATTATCATAGATGAATGAATAGGGGACTGGTAATTTGTCATGGAGCTAATTTGGGAGTTAGGGTTGGTAGTGTGTGAGGAATCAGAATCACTGGTTTCTACCATTGTTTTCTTTAAACCGAGTCTCTGATACCATGTAAGTTTGAGGAATTAATCTTCCTTAATAATATTGAGCCATGCGGCTGAAGTATTTATACAGAGTATAGATAACAACTATTCTGTTTCAGATCCTAAAAAATAGGATCTATCTATCTGCGTTCTTATCTACTAATTAAAGCTGTCTATCAGCTCTAATTCTAATCTATACAGCAACGGATGTACATAGAATAAAAAATACAATAATATGTCACATTTTTCAACAGAAAGCTAAGATGAGAAATCATCAAACTCATTTCTCCATCTTGTTCAAGTGATAATCATGTTCTTCTTTTTCATCCATTCAACACAACTGAGTTTTTGAAAATTATTACCTCAAACGTGAAGCTCCAAAGCATTTACCAAATGATAGAAGGAAAGGCATGTCATCGAAATGAAAACCAGCTGCTGCAGCACGTTCAAAGGCCATGCACTGTTCTTTTTCCAGCACTGATTTGCGCGACTGTAAGATTTTCAATATCTGTACTCTAACAGACATGCCAATAAGAAATTAGAGCTCTTGATAGTAAATATATCAAATTATGTGTTAGAAGAACCTCAAAAGCGGGTGAGTATACTACAATTATTTTTTGGATACTTATTCCCATGGTAAAGAAAATAGTCTATTCCACATATAAGATGAAAAAACCAAAGAATAAGCCTAATTCATGGGGTGCTAATTCGTCCTCTTTATCACCCACCCATTGTCTTCTGTCTGTCGCCCATCACCGCACCTTCTTTATGTTCAGCTCTGCCACGGTGCCAACTCATGCATGAGTAGTTTCTCTCAGAAGTTCAAACCAATCCCAAAGAAGTAGGTAGGTATGATAATATGATTTGTGTTCTTGTTCCAATGTTGCTTAATTAAATTAATTATCCATATGTTTTGCCACTTGTTATGTATGATCCCGCTTTCCACACCACCACAACCAAGTTTTCTGTGTTCGCTTTTGGATAAACATCTACTAGGATATGCACACATAGAGAATAGGAATACATTAACGAAGAGAAAACAGAAAACAGAGGTGAAACTCTCATGCCAAACGATATCCAACCAATGATGAAAATACAGTATCCATTTACCTAAATGGCTAAATCTAAATGAAATCCATATATCATGCCGATTAATGGCATTGAGCAGTCCAAAATCATTGATTTCTCCCTACGTGTCCAGTGTTGGGGTGAGGAATGAGGTCTACAATATCTGCCCTTCTGTTGAATGTACTGATGGTAAAAATCTAATTATCATACAAAAGTCAAGTCCATTAAAGTTTAAGCGTAAATAAAGGAAGATTGGATGGACTAATATTGTAAGAAGAAAATTGTATATGAAGCTGGAATCAGATTCCGGCAATGGAAGAAAAACAGTGACATTTCCATTCTACGTGTTATCACAACCGAAGGCACTATAGCCATCGTGCTAAAAACTCAGTTAATTGCAATTCACAACAATCCTGATTCAGTCTCCTTTCTCGGGTATAGACTATTACACCAACCAAATCTACAACATGCCAATTTGTTAAGCACTCTCAAGTTACCTTATTTATTTACAGGTAAGAAAAAATAAATTGCTATAACCAATTTCACAAATCCAAGGAACAATGCGAAAACTCAAGCAATAAATGAATCAGGAGAAGATAGATATACCTGCAATTCCCATCTTGTGAAAATGAACCACTTGCTTGTGGTATATGCTCCTCAGGCTGTATAAAAAATAGAAAATAAAAGCCAAATGAGTATATTAGAAAAGTGGAAAATACATGCACCATAAAGAGGGAACATAAGCCAAATACTTACCTTGTAAAGGACAACAGCTTTATTACCATTAGAAACTACCTCGGACTTGCTACCTGTCAAAAGTTTTGGGTGTGACCGTGTGAGAAGGTTTTACTGAGTACTTATTGACCAGAAGCAGCCAACAATCTAAATGGATTGAGTGGACAAAGGCATTGGCATTCTAAATGAACATAATAAACAACAGTCTAACTGGATTGCACTAATAATGAAACAACAACCACAACATCCTAAAGATCATGAAACATGAATATGAAATTGAACCAGATTTAAGACAGAAAGTGTTAAGTACACACTGTCATACTGGACTCAAGAAGGCTATAATTGGATAACAGCTCACTTTCTACAGTAGAGAAATAAGGAAATCCTACTATCAACTACATTATACTAAAGTTAAGAATTTATTTGTTTCTCATGTATTACCATCACAGTCCCTGAATGCCTTCGTTTGCTGATCCTCAACCTGTCAAAGAAACAGTATATATGAATGGAGTTATACACTGTAACCTACTAACCTGGATAAGAGTTTACAATTTGACTTTAAATACTTTACAAGGCAATGTTGAATGTCATTTTTCCCTTGAATGGCAATTGTTTCCTCAATCTGTATGATCTCAGATTCTATAATGTACACTCTTTCTAGGATATCTGGGGTGTTCACAAAACGCACAAACCTATACAGTGCAACAAATGTCAAGCCCAAATAGTCAATAATTCTGAAAATATTCACCAACTGCATTGATTATGCTGTGACAGTGATAAGAAATGCAGTTATCACGGCAATGTCATGATAAATGAGTATTAACTTCAGAGTGAGCTGCATGAAATTTGAAAACATACTCCCTTCTGGAATTGTTCTTTTTTTCCAATTAATCTGGAACATCCAAATTCCCAAAAAGGGAATGTATGTCATCCATAAAGCAAAAGCTTAACTATATACTTCCTCCGGTTTTTAATAAACTTCACACTTTCCTTTTTGGGACGGTCTAAAATAAACTTCACACTTCCTTATTTCCTTTTTTGGCTAAGAAATCTACATCAAAACAGTGCCAAACAGTGCCAAACTGTGTCAAACAGTGTCTCAACAGTGCCAAACAGTGTCTCAACAGTGCCAAACAGTGTCAAACAGTGCCTCAACAGTGTACTCTACATTAAAGTCAAATTTTTTTCCTTATTTTGTGTGAAGTCAAAGTGTGAAGATTAAATAAAACCGGAGGGAGTACAATACTTGGTGCCAGTTAATGGAATGTATTTATCTGAAACCATATGCACCGACCACAGATTTGCATTGTGACTTTGACATTTTGCATCTCATTATTTGAAACATACATCAGACACACAATGAAACATTTAAACCAGTAAAGCAACAAATGTATAATTCTTGTCATACTTACTCTTTGAACGAATACTCATGCTTTGAAGACAGAAAATACTGGAATCCACTACTAATTACCCTATCTCCCTGGTTGTTAATGAACATCAATAACCAGAAGTAGCTTATGCGCCTAATACCAATATAAAACCACCACATCTACATGACTACATACAAACCTTTCCACAGTGCCCTTTGTAAACCATGATATCATACTCTGAGACTGTGGTGGCTCAAGAATGATTGAGTAACCACCCTTTGCAATTTTTTCCTGAGCAGACTTCATGTGAGCAAGAAAAGGATTTAACAGGCCGGAAGCAATCTTCTCTTTCTTCCCATTTGCTATGATAATCAAATCACATCTGACATTAAGAAGAAGTAAGAGATTCTTCAGTAATCAGATCAACTCAGCAATTGATCTGTGTGAGCATTTTTACAGCCAAAATCTATTATCCTCAGAGTTTGTGCAAAGCAGCCAAAATCCATAAACATTTTCACTACATCCCCCACTGAACAGTGACATGCATGTCCATAATAAAATAAGACCATCGACATTCATAGAACTTCGGGAGTAGAGGGTAGAGCAGAAAAGTAGCTAGAGATTCAAAGAAACAAAACAAACTACCAATTTCGCAGGCAATTAGCAAATTTACCTTGTCCGAGTAGGAGTTAGACGGAAAACTACTGAGTCCAGCTGAGTGCTCGATTTCATTGTTGAGTCAAGCTGGTGGTCCGAGTTGAATTACGTCAGCACCTCTTCAATGCGGACGCACAGCCTATAAAGGACTGAGCTTGAAAATCTTCGAGAGATGATTTAAACACGATAAAGGACCAGCTTAACTGAATAAGGTACGATACTACTCAGTCAGATTCCTGGTTGTTGATGTATTATAAAAGTTTGGAAGCAAATGCTCGTTTGAGAGTTAGTTCAGATGAAACAAAGCACAGAGATGTACAAAATGCTCATACGGCGGCAGTGAGGAAGGGAATTAGCTTTCACTGAATTTTAGAAAGAGAAATGGGTGACTCGGCGGAGAATTATATGTACGAGTGGAGAGAGAGTGGAAGAGGGATAGTGATACCAGTCAGTGAATAGCCGTTGAATTCAGAAAAGAGGTGAAAATGCGTAGTAACAAAAAGCTTTCACTCAAGTTATTCAACTTTTGCGGCCGTCCTGATTATTTTTTTGTACAAAAATGCTAATTATTTTTTGAGTAAAGGGTCAGTTTTGTACTCAAAATTACATAAAAAGGGTCAAATATGTCCTTATATAGGAGACTCTGTCTGGCCGTCACCATTTGAGGCGGTTCCCGGTGAAATTTTTTGACAAAATTTTTTGAGCATCTTATGCATTAAGTCTAGTTTATTCATACCAAATTTCAGCTAAAACTTCAATCGGGAAGGCATTCAAATGAATTCTTGAAGATAACTGCGCAGTTAAAAGCGCAGTTATCTTCAAGAATTCATTTGAATGCCTTTCCGGTTGAAGTTATAGCTGAAATTTGATATGAGTAATCTACACTTAATGAGTAAGATGCTCAAAACTTTTCATCAAAAAAATCCACCGGGAATCGCCCCAAATGGCGACGGCCGGACAATAAAGACTTATTTGATCCTTTTTATGCAACTTCGAGTACCAAACTGACATTTTACTCATTATTTTTTTGTTTTTTATACTAGCTTTCACTCAAGTTTCCCCCAGCCCCTCCCCAGACCCCCTGGAGTAATAATAAAAAAAATGAAAAAACTTTTATCCAAATGGTAAGCATATTGGGTCATACACTCATTACTCATACCTCACCTAATGTGATATACTCATAACTCAATCATATCCATATAATAACTTTAAGTACTTCGTATTAAATTTATCAATTTAAAAATCACATAATCGAATGTGAAGTTATAATTGAACATTTAAGTAATGTTGTCAACGTTTCTAAATTATACTCTGTACAAAAATGCTAATTATTTTTTTTGTTTTTTATACTAGCTAGTATTAAATTTGTTCTTCAAATGATTGTGCTAAGTAAATTTGGGATTGAGGATGTAGTTGAAATAAAGTGACAGTAAATTTTGATGATCAGAGCATGTAGTTGCGTGACTTCGGACTCAGTTTGATGGCAGATGCATGGGTTCGCCAAGAGGGTTTTGAGTCGATCTGGTCATTCTATGTTGCGGAAGAAGATGTTTGCGTCTGCCGAGACTAGAGAAGAAAACATAGCAGTCCTTTTGAAATCACAGAACATTTCTCTCCTATTTAGAGATATTTCCCAAAATTTTATTAACATTCTAAACAATCCGGTCTTTTTTATACATTAATAAGAAAACAATTTTGTTCACCCCCTCAAAAGAAGGTGAATATCACCCCCACCCTATTTGGTTGCCACATGGCATAGCAATTCATTTCAATTTTATAATTGTTATAGCTTTTTCATTTTTGGTTTAGTTTTTTCAACAAAAAAATCAATATTTTAAATTTTTTATGATCTTTCATATGATATCAATACTGGATATGTAAAATTAAAACAAATCCGGCAAAAAATAGATTTAAGACAAAAAAAAAATTATATGCGCTATTGATATCATTGGGAAAATTATAAAAAGTTATTAAATTTGATATATATATTTCTTTGAAAATTTTAGTAAAAAATAAAAAAGTTATAATAGTTTTAAGATAGAAGTATTGTAATGTCAAATGACATGCATTAGAGGGAGAGGCAGGGGCGGATTTACGTTGACAGCGCCCGTTGAATTATTGATCGGATGACCCGGAAGAAACAAGGCACCCTACCTTACTCTAAAGTAAGGTAGAGGCTCTGGATCCCATAAATACTACTCATTCCTAAATCAAGCAAGCTCTAATCAATTAAAAAATCCAAAAAAAAACTCCCGAAGAATAAATCGAAATTATTATAAAAATAAAATATTTTGAAAGAAAATATAAGCAATGGTGGGCAAAGAAAACGAAAAAGTATAGTGTTGGAGTGGACCATTTTCAAATGAGTAGAACCGAGTTATACAATAATTTTTACAATAATATACTGTGTATTACTTTTATATATATTTTTTTTAATTTCATTGTTATTATTATAAATAAATACAAACCTTTTTAGCATTTAACCTATCTATATCTGATTTTTTTTCTTTATGCTTTTCTATTTACTACTCCGTATTATTAGTTTTGGTCTAACTAGATACTAAACATACAAACTTGATTAGAATTACTAAACATATACTCGCTACGGTACTAAGTAGTACTCCGTAATTATTAAGACTTTATTTATTTTACAAGTTATGTTTAAATTTGAGTCGTCGTCGTCGTCATCATCACTACCCCAGTGCCGCAAAGGCTCCCACCTATGGTGGGGTGGGGGAAGGGGGGTCGGATGTATGCAGTCTTACCCCTCCACTAAAGCACAGAGAGATTGTTTCCGGATGACTCATAATGAAAATCACGTTGAAAATTGCATGGACTGACTACTGCTTCATAACAAAGGAGCGCAGACAGTTTAGTGAGTCATTTTACTTTATTCCATCATATTCTCAAACCAAAAAATGGTGAGTTTTTGGCTCCATTGAAAATGTTGGAAAATAAATTTATTTTTGAATAAATTGTACGAAGCATATATGTATACAAAGTTACAAACAAGTGTACAAGAAATGTAAAAATAGCATCTTTATTGGATATGATATAGGAAAAAGATTATTGATTATTTTTCATTATTGTTATTATTATTATAAGACAACGTTTGATAAAATTGTATATGTACACGAACGTACAAAAAAGTGTAAAATCAACATTTTTGTCTGTCTTTTGTTTTCTTGAAAGAAAAATGGCTTAGATATGATTTGAAAAGTGAACTGATTTTTAAATTGTTTGGATTAGGAGTACAAAAAATACTCGACGGTGGAAATTGATGAAAATGGTGTATTCGAGTTTTCAAATATTGGCATACTTCTCACTTTCTGATAGGGATCCGGCTACTAGTCTAATTGGTGGGGTAGATTTGGCCAAGTGTATTGTAGAAGGCTTAAATAGACTATTCCCGTTATTAGTTAAAGTTGTTAGATAACTAATAACGGCCTTCCTTTTAGGGAAGGATATAAATAGTAGTTCCTGTTGCAGGATTGGGAGGCTTGTTCAGACTGTTGTCTTGACTGGGAAGTTAGAGTTTTATCTCTTTCTTTGGGCTGTTTGTACTGGATTTCCGCCATTAATAAATTGTTGGTTCTTGAGCTTTGATTTATATTTCTTCCTTGGAGGGGCGAATAACAAAAATCGAACGGAACTTCGATCGAAGTCAGAAGGAATTAGGTGCGAAGATCGATGCGAAGATCGATGAATCGAACGCGAAGTACGAAGAATTGTTGGCGATGATGCAAGCTGGTTTTGCAGAGATAAAGAATCGAAAGATAGACCGATCGCAGAGTAGATCACGCCACTCTACTTCTTCGCATTACACCGTTCAGCACCGACATATGAAGAGCAGTGATACTTCAGAGGATTCGGATAATAAGTCCGATCACTCTGTATCGCATATTCAGCGCAATCAGCACCGCAATCACAGGCGTCAACATCCGGTTGGGAAAAAAATTGACTTGCCTATTTTCAATGGTAAGGATGTGTTCGGTTGGTTAGTAAGGATGAACAGATACTTCAGGCTGAATCATACAGACGAGGATGACAAAATTGATGTTGCATGCCGTAGTTGATATGGAAGATCAGGCACTGAGTTGGTTTCAGTGGTGGAAGGGGCAAGCTCAACGATAGAACTGGAACACTTTCACTAAAGCCTTGGCCAAACGTTTTCAACCTGATATGGTGCAGGATCCTCTAGGACCTTTATTCAATCTGAAGCAGAAGGGAACCATACAGGAGTACAGAGATCAATTCGAAACTGCCATTGCTCTTCAAGGTCACCTAACTGAGGAAGTTCTGAGAAGTATATTTCTTAAAGGATTAAGGAGAGATATCAGGGCTGAACGGAAGCTATACTCTACAAAATCATTGGCAGAGGTTATGGATACAGCTACCTTAATTGAGAATAAGAATATGGAAGCGAAGATTCAAAGGAACAAAGAAGAAGGGAGGAAGAAAACACAGTATAGAACTCAGAATTGGGGTGATGGAAGAACTGGAAACCTAACCAAGGAAATGTTATCCAGATATTCAAGGAAACTGAGGACAACAAGATCAACAAGGAGGGCAAGGATCAAAACAGTAATAGAAGTGGCCCAAGATTGTCTCAAGAAGAATTACTAAACAGGAGCAAGAAGGGCTTGTGTTTTAAATGTGGGGAAAACTTGGGAAGAGGACATGTGTGTAAGATGAGAAATTATAAGATGATCTTAGTGGAGAATTCTGAAGGAGAAGAAATATCTGACATGGAATCTAGAAAGTCTGAGGAGGATCCACCTGTTTACTCAAACCCTATGGAGCACCAGACTATGCAGCGGCGTCTGGAATATCATTCACACATAGTACATCCATAAACAAACATAATGTAAAATATTCATTCAAAGCAGCGGAAACATTCAATACAAGTGTTCATGCCACACCTTGGCAAACAAGGGGGCATACAAGCCCCCAAATAAATATTTCAAAAAAAAATAATACCCATGAGCATTCATTAAAATGTTTGTAAAATAGGAACGGAGGAAGCACGAACCACGTCTCATCTCCTTGGATCCTCCCGAAGCAACGGCGATGGTAGCAACCTTCAAGTTCTACCTGAAACTGTGAGGTGGCCTCCCCCGTGAAGGGGAGGTCAGTACTTGGAAGAATTTGACAAGTACAATGACAACTATACTAAATATAATCAAAGTTTCAATTTCCAAGACCCTCAATCTAGGATGTTATTATTTTATAATTAACTCATGTTCCTTCATGCTAGAGCTCGGCTCATAGTCATACTAATTCGTGCTAGAGCTCAGCTCATAGTCACACTATATTTTGCTAGAGCTCGGCTCATAGTCATACTACATTTTGCTAGAGCTCGGCTCATAGTCATACTACATTTTGCTAGAGCTCGACTCATAGTCATACTACATTTGCTAGAGCT